GAAAATCTACAGATATAAATCAACAACTCTTCTAAATACAGTAAAATAAAAACGCATTTAGCATTTTTTTAAAGGATATTCCACCGCGTGCCCTAATTTCCCACCCATAAAACCCTATAACTACCGTTTTCGTAGGAAAACATGCAGGGGGTAGGGGTTAATGAGTGGGCCTACATAAGCTATTGTTGCCCCTATTGCCACTATTGGTCGTTTATATGCATAGTCCAGACCCCCTAGCACAAGGAAGGAGTGCTGTTAAGAGTGTGATTTCGCGATCTAAAATTCGAAGTCATTACCGGCCTCGGAAACAGGGTTATGAATCTCAATAGACCACCCACAGCCGATCTCCCAAATACTATTGATTGGTTTCGAGACTAGTGAGGCAGTGTTCAACGCTTTGCCAGAGAGGAACTTCTTACACTCTCCACACGAGTTCCAATCGAAGTGAACAAATGGAGGCAACTTCATCTTGGCGACATAGTCTTTTTTTTCGCCTGCCAATACAATTAGGCAGACATTCGACTAGACAGAGAGAGAGAGTGGAATAGACAGCGTACGTTTAGCGTCTTGTCAACGACTGTGGCCCGCCTACCGCGGCACACAACAAACACAAATCATTCCTGGCAGATTGTCTTTTAGTTGCCTTTCTTCAGTGTGGTCTTCGAGAATGAAAAAAAAGTGATTAGTGGTAAGGCGGCAGAAAAATCGGAGAGCAGATGGGCTTCATTTTCAAAGTGAAACCGTTTAGGGGAGAACGGGACAGAAAAAGAGACAAGTGTGTAACTTGAAATCTAAATTTCAATCGCTACGGTGGTATTATGCGCTAGTCCTAGCAGACGAGAGAGAGCGTAATTAGTTTGAGCGGTTAAGAGTGGCGTTGGAAAGAACAGAACAGAATGCGTGATCAGTGCAAGGCGACGAGCCCTAAAACCTGCGGTGCACGCTCCCCAAGACCCCAACCCAACGGAGGCGACAAAACGGGGGGGAGAGGGGTGCGAATTGTATTGGCAGCCGCCGCAGGCAAAAAAACGTCCCAATAGATCTCAGCGGCTGCAACAATGTCCTCCGCCGTTGTGACAAGTGAAATTTACGGGAAAAAAGCAAAGGGTCAACTCTCCAGGGAGGCCACATTCAGAGGCGACTTGGATAGGGAAGAATGCATCAATTAACTCAGGATGCTGAAAGGTCCCAAAAAAATGATTTCTTACACGATGTGCGTTCTTGTATTACTTACGGCCTGAGAGCGGTGGGGACCAACAGACGTGTCGACAAATCGGATAGGGTGAATGCGTGAAGAACATGGGAACAAAAACTCCTTAACACGGCGGTCTCGCGCTAATTTCCTGAGGAATTAATTTTAACGTTAAGCTCAGAGTTAAGTCTAGGGATAGGATTAAGGGGGTATATATGTTAAGGCAAAGGTTAGGGTCCGACACAGGAGCAGGGATCCCCATCTCGGAAATACAGGAGGCCTTGCTAAAAATGACAGTGAGAATAAATATTATCCAGTCATAAGCCCCAAGTCTAACTCAAACAGAAACCCTGCCCCTAACCTAGTCTCCCACAAATTAACGCAATATCCCCCGGGTAGGGGGAGGAGGTAAGGGAGAGTGATTTCTATTCCCATGCGCTTTCTAAAGTTTTTCCACTGCCTATAAAATGTAACTGGGATCGAGGTGAAATAGGTATGTTGCCCCCCAACCCTTGAGTCGCTAATACTGGTTGTATACTGTCCTGTAAACTCGATCAACAATGAGCGGAAACTGTACAAAACACATTGCAAGGTCATGCTGTCAAGTTAAATACGGGTTAAGCAGGAAAACAAAAACGGGAAAAAACGCAAATCAAATCCTACCCTGCATCCCCAACGAGAGCCCCGTGATGAAGGCAGTTGTGACCCAGGCTGTTTGTTATGGTCAAATCGGCGCGGTCAGAGAGCAGGAGTTCAACCATTGCCAAGTTCTGGCCGGAAATAGCATCATGCAGAGGTGTATCCCCATCGCAATCCTGGAAGGCAAAGTGAAAGACGAGCTTAGGGTACATTCAAAGGCCTTGGTGCACATACATTATGCCCAAAACGAAGAAACAAGCCCACAGGGCTAAAAGACTGAAACCGGTTCTGTGGCCAGGAAAAAGACCTACTGTAAAGAATTGGGGTACAGGGCGAAACTGGGTTGGAGCAATCTGGTTTCAGTCATCGACTCACTTGTGGAAGCACCAAAATACCTCTGCATCACACTGAAAATTAACCCCTTCCCCCCACAGTCAGAGTTGAAACAGATTAATGAGTTCCAAGGGGCAAGTCAACAGAAGAAGGAGCGGGACACAAGGCAGAGTGGGAGAGATGAGTTTCGTCAGTGGCCAGGTTCACGTGCGCCAATGAGCGTCAATATCCCCTGACCTCAACCGGCAAGACAACGAGCTCGCGGCTCAATGGTTAAGGCGTTTGACTCTGATAAAGAAGGTCGCGAATTCGAGGTTCGGGTGGGACAACACTTGAGTCTGACTATGACTGGCTGACGACGGCTAATGAGCCAGAAATGGCCATTCCAGTCTTCCTAGTGTTTTCCGGTCATACTATCTGCCTACTTCCCGAAGAATGGGTGTTCACTAGTAAAGGTTTGTTGTGTGTCCAAAGTTTTGCGTATAGTTCTTCTGCTACCCTTCTCCAGAGACTGGACATTCAGGTTCTTAGTCCTCTTTGCATGCCGCTCTTTTCCGTCTGCATAGTCTGCCAATTCCGGCTGTTCCCCTGCATCTGGTTCGAGGAGTGTCGCCAACAAGCATATCGGGGAGGGGGAGGAGGAAGGCAATATTTTTATATTTTGCATATGTTTTGCCTCCAGCCAGCCATTCAGACCGACCGCAAACTTAGACAACAGACAATCTCATGGTCAGAATCACCTAAATAAGCATCCCCTTTCGACGCGACGCGAAAGTAGGAACACCTCGTCCCCGTAATAGAGGAGACATTGTGTTGAATTCTAGGAAGGAAAGGCACTCCAGCGTTTCCTAACTCTAACGCTACTTCCGATCCAAACGTCAAACACAACCCTGACGATTCCTAACCACCTGATATTTGATCTCCAAATAGATGGTCACCGATCAATTGAGTCGACTACCTTGCCATTTGGGCCATGGACCAATATCTTGCCGGGAATTGCAAAGCCTTACTGGAGGATATATCGTCGGACGCACGTAAGTGCAGGCTAGCACCGTGTTCGATTCTGCCTCCGGTCTTCTTGGCTCTGCCTTGATACCAGTCACAGACGAGTGAGCGAAGAGAGATAGAGCGCAGTAGATGCAGCGCAAGTCTACCATCAACTCAAACAAATTCACACGCAATTCCCCGTCCCAGCGCCACCATGCTGTGAATCACGCGGTGGACCTGTCGGATGTGAAGCTCGAACAGTTGTAGGACATTATAAGTGTGTGGCTTCTTTTGATTTCGGGCCTCCAGTTTTAAGTTTTGTAGGTGGTGGAATAACCTCAAGCGAAAGATGAGCCCAGCCTTATTACACATGCAAGACAGAAATGCCTTGATTAGATTTCGGAGAAGAACAGCAAGTGATGTTGACGACGAAGGACGGTCTAATGGAACTTTAGTGAGAAGAATCAAACCTCGGCCAAGAGGTTTGCTACTAATGAAGGTTGTGCGCGCAGCATGGCCCACTCAGACGAGCAGTGGGTAATTGCTCCAACCGACCGACCGGACGGACATAATTAAATTTGAAGCAAATGAACGCGTAAGAGCACTCGCGGCCAGCAAGGCGGTACGCTCTGAAAAACTGACCGATTTCAGTTAACGTCCGGGTGTTTGCTATTGAAATTTCGACGATGCAGCCATTTGAATTCTCGCCTTGAGGCAAAGGCACCAAGATGCTAAAATGTGATGGCACCTTTCGCGGAAATATTTCCCTCTGCATCCATAGTCTGAATTGCAAAAATAAGCGAGATTATAATAGCCTTTAAGTTATTTTTGACTCGGCATCAACCTCGGTCGCCTCGGTTGGAGGCCGCAAATGTTTCACAATTGGGTCAACGGAAATATTCACATCTGCAAAACTCTCCTAATAATTGGGCCTAGTAGTCATTCTGATGTGTTCTAAATGACTGTTTTGCCCTGCTGAAGGAGTGTTACATTTGCTTGAGTTTGTATCACGATTTCTTCACCGGCATTTAAATTTTCTGTTCTTTTTTGTCACTGTAGTTATCTGTAGTTTAGTTGCAACTACACCCACTTAACGTTACATTGTTGACCCCGTACCTACTATCAAATTTGTAGTTTTTCATCGCCGTGCATACTACAAAGGCATATAACGAAACTGGTACAATAAATTGGCTAATTCATGAAATATTTAGATAGAAATTTGAATGTGTGATTTAACACAAATTTAAGGTTGTTTCTTTTATTCATTGAATAGACATGGGGCGCAAAATGCTGTTTACTAGAAAAGAGTTCAGATCAGATGAGCGTATTGAAGAAAGAGAGTGGGTTCAATTGGGTTAAATCCAACGTTTCTTGATATCCAAGGAATGTTCTATGCTAGTAAACGCTAGTTGTGCGTGTCTTACTATAAAAGAACATTAATAAAGACCAGACACTTTCAATTATATCGGCTCAGAGATCATAACATTGAGGTAATTGCAAGTATGAGGTAATGCATTACTGCCGGGCAAAGACGTGCGGATTAAGTTTTAAGAAAGTCTATTTTGCAAATCTGCCAGGTTTTGTGCCATAAACTTGAGAAATAAAATAAAGAGACTGTAATTTGTTTTACCGCACCCAAAAATAACGACATTAAACAAGCATATATATATATATATATATATATATATATATGAACACCCGAGACCTGCCATCACTTTTCTTTGTCAAGCCGTATGAAGAAAATGTCAAAACGTTTTCTATTTACTGTTCAGTATGAACGAATAGGGAAACTTTAAACACAACGGGCAGAAGATTCTCAATTTTCGCAAAATCGTAGTATATAGTCAACCACTCTGTCATGCCTAAGAACGGGGCCTAAAAGTAAAGAAGTATGCTGAAAACTGCTTCACTGTGCACAGGAAAGCGATTTTTTCCCTTCACCATAAGATTTATTCATAATGCTCAGAGAAGTCAAAAACCCAGTCACATTTTGCCATTTTTATCTTGATTTAATCTTTGGGAAAGGTAAATTACGTAGATAGTTGACGCCGAAAGCGCTATTTCAAAAGGTAACTTGTCATAGAAAGCCCCTTAATTGACCTTAGGCATATAAATATCTGATTTTTGTTACGGACGTTCATTTTCCTTGACAATGAGTCGACATGCTCAGATGATTCTAAAACCATGACCCAAACAGACCTTAAAGCTCCCTTTTCAGGTAAATGCGTGAAAGAAATATCGTATTTTGAGGGTTTTGATAAGCACGGCTAATAGCGCTGAAAATCGAAAAATGTTAGTCAACATTTCATGAAAGAGCTGAACTTCGTCGTAATCGAAATCCCGAAATAATTATAAGGAAATGATACTGCAGGAAATTTCTCTTAGTGTGCACAAAATGGTACGCTTACGATTGAACCTGAAAAATCCCATTTAAATTTATTAGTCGCTGAACGGCATTTTCGCACGTCAGCTCACAAAATATTTTACTCCTGTGACTTTCCAATCGGCGTAATCAAGCGATTATTTTACGAACGGATTATTTTCCACCAAAATTCTACTTGTGCAGCTTTATTCCCTCGTTTTTTGCATAAACAGGCTTTCTCTAAATTTTAAACTTAGATTTATCTTGTACACCCTATTTCCAGTTTTTCAAAATTTTCCGCTTTTCGAAAAAAGCTGGTAGCTCTCAACAACCTAATCTTACTTGATTAACCGCAATATGCTTTATTTTGAAGAACGACCATTACTTTACTGTTGCAAGAATTTGGAGGATGAAACGTGAGTTGTGTTTGCGTAACAGAGATTTTCTTATAAAAATCTTTACATTTTACACTGTGTGTGTGTTGTTAGACAATCGATTTCGATAAGGTCCACCATGTGCTCAAGAGCACAGACGGCGATAAGAGCTAAAAAGCGATTATTGTGAAATAGACGTGTAACTGTATCCCTCACTCTACCCATCATCCGCTTAAAGCTGTGATAAGACCGAAGTCAAGATGACCGCTAATGTACAGTTGTTCGCTTTTTATATGCACCGAAAACAATGAGTCTTCGCAGAAGGAGGGTGTTTTAGAGTCGTTAGTGAAATCAGCAACAGGAGTCAGAAGTTGGAAAAAAACAGTGTTTAGCATGCAAATTGGGAACTTGTAAGATGTGGTAAAACAGTAAAATAATGTGCATTTCGACTTCTTTTTAAGCATGGGCGTCTTCAAGCTGCGTTTGATGTCCTGAAATCCGGCCTTCCCAACGACACTATATTCTTATCGTCCGTAGGCAGTATAAACACGAAATTTAGATCAGCCCTAACTTAAGAGTACGAAACCTACAGAAGGCAGTTTAGAATAGGTTCATAAAAACATTATAAGGGGCTGTACACTGAGCTCTGAAATAGGTGAAAAATTCAAAGGTAATCCTTTGATGTGTCTTCGAGTAGAAAGGAGTGGCTTGCTATGATCCAAAATATATGCACATATTACAGTTTCTGGGTTTTCATTTGGACATATCTTAAGTCAACGATGTAAATAAAATCCAGAAAGAGTTATTAGATTAGTAGTTCGTGCTGCTGCCATTAGGTTGTGATGCTTCTAAAAGTGACATTATATCTGCGAGAGTAAGAGCAGAAACAAAATTATTTACTATATCTGCCTAGAAGAAAGTAAGTTTCCTTTAAGTGCTGTGCCTCGAGAAAGAGTGCATTTCGATGTCAATAACTTCTAATTACGAGGATAGTTGAAACGCTCTTGTCTGATACTATATACGGATTTATTAACGTTACCGCCCCTCCCCCCGCCCTGCCGACACGGCACGGAGATGGCAAAACGCCCACGCAGTACAGAGGGCCGTCCGCTAAATTACACTTAGGGTAAATATGTACTTGTCTTAATATAAACCT